TTTTTTTTTTTTTTTTTTTTTATCTTTATCTTATTTTTGTTGTTCCTCGGAATATGTTTTTAAACTAGTTCGAATTATGATAGTTGGTGTCAAAGTTTCAAGAAATAATCGGCACAAACATGAACATTATATAACCAAAAAAAAGGATGGATATACACTAAAAAGGGGGAGAATTGTTTGAATTATGTCAATACCGAATGTAGAACAACAGAAAAAGGAAAAAGCTCAAAATTTTAGGTGCTGTTTGGTTTACATTTTAAAAAATAGTATTCAAAAATTATTTTTAGGAAGAGTTCAAAAAATCGTTTTTGTGGTTTTTGTGTCGCATAACTTGTTTGGTTATATGATTCCAAAAATAGTTCTACAAAATAGAAAATATTAAAACTTGTTTGAATAATAACTTAAAAAACGATAAAAACATAAATGTTGTGGTGGTGGTGTGGTGTGGTGGTGGACGTGGTGGGAGTGTGGTGGTAGTGGTGTTTTTTAAATTCTGAAAAGGTTGTTTCTAAAAACACACAAAATAATTTTAACTTGTTTTCTAAATTTATCCAATTTATATTCTCAATTTTTTAAAAACAAAAACCAAAAAAAAATAAAAATTGGCCAAATATTTTTTTTTCTTGAAACTATTTCCAAAAATAAAAATAATTTTTGAGAAACAAATCAAGCATGACCTCATTTTGCAAAATTTTAAAGGTGCTAACTAATCTAGTTAACAAAACTCTGTATAGTTATGATATCACCCTAGAGATTACCTTTTTTTTTTAGTTCAACGATTAGCGGTGTCATGTTTTCAGTTTGGTCAAAAGCAAACCATCTACGTAAGAATTAGGGTATTTATGATAAATAAATCTCTCATGCCCTAACCATGAAAAGTTATTAAGATTTGCACTCAAGACGTCAAAAGCTCTCACGAAGGGCTCTTCCTATGTCCATCCTCTATCCAGCCATTTTGGGTTAAGAAGTTTTATAGTTTGTTTCTATTATCACTTGAGTTACTCTTTAGAATTATATTAGAGATTACAATAATTTTATTGTTTAGACACCATAGCAAAACTTAAGACCTAATCAACACATGTTGCAACCCACTAAAGTAGGTCAACCTTAAACACAAAATTCTCAATGTGAGAACTTTGACTATATTGAATCTTAAATTGGCTAAAATATTCTCATTATGTGAGAACTTTGACTATATTGAATCTTAAATTGGCTCAAATATTCTCATTATGTGAGAACTTTGACTATATTAAATCTTAAATTGGCTCATTTGAATCGTAATTTTTTTTTTATTTTTTTTTATCACCATTATACCTTAGTCTTTTCCCTATCTTTGTTCATGTATATGAAGATTTCTAGCTGTACTTTTAATTTTTTTTCAGTTGCATGAAATGTCTTGCATAAAACTTCATAAAATTCATATACTTGGTGGGGAAAAACACATATGATGGTATAATTAGCAATTAAACGAAGGTAGAAAATCATTAGTAAATGATCAAAGGGAGCTTTTATTTTAGCTTGTCCCATACATCCACAAAAGAAGTAGCAGCAGGGCAGGAGCATCTCTCTGGGTCTGGCAGTACGCTTCTTTCACATCCTCCTCTCTTTTTCTTCTTTCTTTTACGGTATACAAGCTAAAGTTTTGCAAGTTCCCATACCAATATTTCTTGGGTACCTAACAAGATCCTCAGAGAGACCCTCCATCACTACCACATCAACTCTACTTTGCCAGGCCACTTGCATCTATTTCCAGGGAAAGACTACGGGGATGACGGTACTGTAACGAAAATTATAATTTTTTATGATTAAATAATAATCTTTTTGTAATGTAAGTTACAGAGTATAATCGATCATGAAAAATTGAGATCGATATTGAAATTTTTATGATCGATCATGAGTATCTGCAAATAGATCAATTGTAACTTCTTATTTCAAAATTATAACTTTACCTATAGAGAGTGGTAATTGGTGGTACAATACCAAATTTTTTTTTTTCAATACTATAGAATTTCCCCTATTTTCAGGGTTAGATTTGGATTCTGAAAATCATGAGATGACAAATGAAATGTTTTATTGTTTTATTTTATTATAATTTTTTAATGATCATGATTATAAATAATTTAAACCAAAGTTTACGATTGAGAATTATTATTTTTTTGGCTGGCTTCCGTATAGCCCTTTTGCTTGTTTCATGTTAAAGCCCTTATTTTGCTCTAATATAGTTTCTGAACTAGTGTCTATTTATAAACTTGAGACATGTGTAATCACTTATAAACCATACGCATTTAACTTGGGACCTCGTGGTACTATTTCTTGGAACATTCCCATCCAAACTACCTTGAAAAGCTAACAAAAACCGTTCTTATAAGGTTTTTTTTTCTTATATTCTTCCATTTAAGTATAAGCATCATGGTGAAAGGGAATGTTAAGATAAAGTAAACACTCAAAATTCATGCCGACATTGAATCGTAATTAATTAAACTGTGATTGTATGACTTTTGCCTTTACAGTGTCCAATTTTCAACATTAGTTGACAGTGCTATGGACAAAATGAGAAAGAAAACAGAGCAGTCACCACAGCCTTTTAGACCAGGAAATATGAAGTGGACCCTAATCCTTGAAGTCAAGAATTCAACCCTACTAATTGCTAATTGGTGCCTTGAAAATAAGAGATTAACACATTACCCAAATCTTAGAAAACGAAAAGAACGCACCGAAAGTATAAGGTTCTCATCTACAGCAAAACTTAAGAGACATAAGTGATAAATCGTTTTCTCTTTGGAAGTTATTTCTTAGATTCGAATCAACGATGCATCACTTACCTTGAGATACAATTGTGGTAGCTAACAATTTCCAAAACTTCATCTTGGATGTGATTTTTACCTAAAAACACTGTCCAAAGTCATACCTGAAGGTGTATGTATATAAAGTTTTATAATTTCATAGGTGTATTTTGCAAGAGTGGGTGAGGATTCCATGAAAAGAAAGCTGGCCATGTTCACAAGAACCCCACATGTATACTCCTTTTTTGTTAGATTGGGAGACCATAGATAGGTGCATGCACATGTTATCTCTTACATTTAAATGCCAATCTCAATCAGCAACATTAGGATGCTAACAACTCCAACTTTCAAGGCTAAAATCAATGGGAAAAATAGAAAAAAAGAGATGCCTTTTCTTATATCACATATTTGAGCTGTTCATACAAGAAAAGTGTAAAATGAGAGGGGACAGATGCTTTGTAAAGATAAGGATAAAGTAATACCCGACTCAATTGAATTCAACAAAAGTTTTAATCCAAACTAGTTGGAGTTAACTATGTGAATTCTATTTGTTTATTGTGATCTATCCGGTAGACCTCGAGCTAACAAATCATTTTGTATTTTTTCATTCAAAATTAGTTGTACTATGAGTGGTCAAATAATAAGTTAAATGTAAATTCACACATTTTAAATTCAAATCCTTCTAGTTGTAAAAAATTCGAGTTTAATCAATGCACAAGCAGCTTAGCGAATGATTGTGTATATTTTATATTTGCATTGCTACTTTGAATCCAAAACCAAAATACACAAGTTACCGTGAACATCGAAAATAATTGTTTCCCTTTCTTTTCTTGTTTTTCGGTTCGGTATTTTATCATTTTTGTTGGTATTGCATAAAGATAAAGGCCTAGTGAAAAAAACTGGCATTTTTATATAGTCCTTATTTGAACCACTCTTCATTTTACTTGCCGAAGGTTCTTGGAACATACATAGGCCATTCTCGGTGACGGGCATCACCTTGTCGTCTGAAATGCGTGCAGAACTTGGGTATTTAAAAAGAAATGATTTATTGCTAGTAAATCAAAAACTTAAAAACAACTCTTTATTTTTAAGCCACTATGAATAATGCATAAAAAGAACAATAATACTCAAATCCGGCAAACAAACAAATCAGAATGCCATTTCATCCTGTATAGTGGACCATATCAATACTATTTCTTATTCTATAAACAGACAATCTTTTTTGAAATCAATAGTCATTCCACATTTACATGAAAGAAGAGAAATCCAACTCTTTCGTTTGTTGTTGTGGTGGAGGAGAGAGAGACAGAGAGAGACAGTGACAGAGAGAAAAAGAGAGAGAAAAACAATTGAGCAACAATGCAATTGTAATAGAACATCCCACCAAATTTCATTGAAAGTGGGCATAGTAAATCCCACTAAACTCTTGCTTTAGAAGGGTGGTAGGCAATACATGACTCCACAATAAACTTGTAACACCAAGCAAGACAAGACAAACACCTAAAAGATGATGCATTAAACAACTGGCAAACGAAAGACAAGTTTTACAGATTAGTAATCCGATAATTAGAATGGGGTCAACTGATATTTTCCAGTATATGAGGGGGCAAAGTCCCACTCAGCTTAAATCACGGGCAACAAAAACATAGTCTATCCCCAAAATTTGAACTGCTTTCCACTACAAATTGCACAGTTTAATTTATCTTCCTCTTTTTGCATTAATTACCACGTAAAAATGCACCATTTTTTTTTTTTTTTTAGTATCTTTACTCCCCCTTTGCTTTTGTTCGATTTTCTAGATCAAGTTGATCTCTTCACTGCAGAAGCTCATAAATTGAGCCAGCGTACTCTATTTTATTAAGGGTCATACTTTCTATTAAACTATAAGTTATCGTGTCTATAGACGAAAAACAGAGGCTTACATTTCTTATTTTCTAGTATTGTATACAATGGCTTCCTGTTTTGCATAACTCAGCAAAAATGCTCAGTTGAGGAATGCATTCAACAACTCCCAAAGCAACATTTCCAAGCCTAAGGTGATGTGTCATAGACTCATACCAGAGCAGGACTCAAACCAGCTGAGGGTTGCAAACTGGCTGCATATTTTCGTGCCCACAAGTCATAATGTATGATTTCGTCAAGGGAAGGCGAGGACACCAGCTCTGCCTGATGTTTATCACATGTTAGCTCCACAACTTTAAAAATGTCGAGGTAGCCGATCCTGAAATTGGGAAAATAATTCATTAGCTGAAAATACCACGAGAGAGCATATTCCATAAGCTCATTCACAAGGTCTACAGAGTCCATAATGTAAAAGAGGCAAAATATCATTTGTATCATATCAACATTTAAATGAAGACAAACAAAATAATCCAGCTTCTAATGGGGTAACAAGCATCCAATATAGGTCTAAAATAACAGTATATAAATTCCACCAAGTGCCTGTACATTAGCCAATAAAATAAGCTTCCTCATGAATGGTAACAAACAGGAGCAAAGCAAGGATTTCAAAACTAGGGGGACCAACCTTAAGTGGAACAAAATACAATACTAGATTGAGAGAGACCATATTGAAAAAATATGAACTCTAAGGGGGGTGAATTTAGTAAAAGCTTAAAGAACAATTTTCAAAACTCAAGGGGCATGGCCCCCAATGGTCTTACCATGGTTTTGCCATAGGTCATAAAGGAAACAAATATAACCACCTAACATGGTGGTTGTTAAAGAATACTCTTCTCACTCTCTCTCTCTCTGGTGAGCAGAAACAGAGGTGTAACAGGCAAAGTGTTCATAGATTGGCCATATTAGTTTCTCCAACCTGTTTCAATTTGGTCTGTACAAGTTTCACACGTATTAAAAATGAAAGATATTGAAACACAATGAAAATTTAGATTATAATACAATTTAGCACAAAGAATAAGCTCGGATTCAAGAGTTTATTCACATGACTAAGTTGGAGAAGGGGATAAGTTGGGTGTAATGATGAAATAAACTGCCCCATCATGGTAAAATTTGGCAAAAAGTGATTTGACAATGGATCCTGTAGTTGTATTGTCTAAGTTAAGTCGGGTGAAAGTTTCCAAGAAATTTTTTGTAAAGGTATTACCGAATGGCATGTGGATGATATTCGGAGGCGATAATCTTTTTATATACAACCGTTTCACCCTCCTCTAGCAGCTCCAGTAATGGCAGAAAGAAGGCCAAAACTTCGTTCATGGGTCTTTGTTTGGTTAGCTAACTGGCTCGCATCCATTAGCATTCATAATTTATAAACACTAAAATGATCGTTGTGTAAAAGAAGATATGACAAACAGAAAGAGAAGACACCCTTCAAGATGATATCTTCATTTCAACACAAAACAAGGCAGAAAGTTGAACCCCCCAAAAAAAAAAAAAAATTCAACACATACAGATAATATATGGAAGAAAATTACTTACTTTTCATTGATAAACATTTCAACAGCTTTCTCATTAGCTGCACTAAGAACTCCAGTCATGGTGCCTCCAGCTCGCCCAGCAGCATAAGCCAAATCCATGGATGGGTATTTCACATTGTCAGGAGTTTTAAATGTCAGCGACCCAAGCCTGTTTCATCACATTTTGATTTTAATCAATGTGCTCCCAATATTTTTCATGATTTCCACATCATGATGAGTTACAATGAACATAAAAGAAGTTGTATAAGAGCATTTTATAATGATGCAGATCAGTACACTGTATATTAATTTATAAATGCAGAGATGCCCTTTCAATTTTGAAGTCCGCCTTCATAAAATTTCCAACAATGATAGAATGAAAGCCACTTCAAAACAATAATTAGAAAAAGGATTGAGCTATTTACGTGCAAAGATCAAGGCGGGGCCAAGTAATCTCAGAACAGTAAATTCTGTCAGGCCAGGATAATGTATAGAGGATTGGCAAGCGCATGTCGGGCCATCCCAACTGTGCAAGGACAGATGAATCCTGCAAAAGAAAGAAAAGATAGAAATTCCATACTGTGAGATTCAGAAATCAGAATACAGGCCACCTGAACATGTCAAAGTTAAGAAGTACATTGATAAATAAATATCACGTCGTAGACATAGCCCAGGACCATGAGAGGATAGCAGTTAAACCTGTGTTTCAACCATTGAGTGAATGATAGATTGGGGGTGAATAACAATCTCTATATCATTATATTCAGCCCCAAAGAGATAGTGAGCTTCAATAACTTCTAGACCCTGCAAAAATGGAAAAACTCAGGATACACTGTATGACAGAAAACATCTGGCTGCTTATTACTCAGAAGCTGGACCATAATTTCTGTTTATTGGATATAACACGATTTGGTTTTTTCCCCATTTTTTGGTAGAAAGAGAGATGGGCGCTAGGAATTAAAATGCAGGCAATATAGGCAAACTACCTTATTGAAAAGGGTAGCAGAGTCGACAGTAATTTTTTTGCCCATATTCCAGTTTGGGTGCTTCAAAGCATCTGCTACTTTAACTTCTCCCAGTTTATCAACAGGCAAATCCCTGTCATCACAATACAATAAACGTTTAACTCTTGTTTTAGACAATGGACCTATGAGCAAAGTGAAAATTAGTAGCAGTGATTAAGTTTAGGAACATAATAGTTCTAAAAATTTACATGAAACAGAGTAGATAGAACGCATAAAAGTCAAAGGATAGATAAAACCAGGAATTATCTAAAAGTAAACAAGAGGTTTAGCAATTCAAATAACTTAGATATTACTCTTTTATAAAATAAGGCCTAAATTGAACTCTAAAAAGGAAACTATGAACATCACTTCAGCTGAAGTCTATTTCTTTACTAAAACTATGACAGAAAAGATACATAAAGAAAGATGCATGACAGCCAAAAATAGTTCATAATCTTTAGTCCACTCACTCATTGCTATTATAGATTACTTTAAATGGAACAGAAAGGAAGCTAAGGACTAAAACGTTGTAACATTCTTAAGAATCGCTTATTCATTCTTTTTAAATGTTAAAAAGCTAGAATAATGCTCAAGATAGATTTCCAACTTCAATTCAAGAGTTTATACCCGAAATTACTATTTCATACCTAAAAGCCCCTCCAGACGCAGTTAAAATAATGCGCCTAAGAGCACCCTCTGGCAAGCCTTGAATACACTGAAGAGAGAAAATTGTTTTTAGCTATTATAATCAGTGTGGTGTGCGTAAGTAAAAAGAGCTATGCAGCCGTCAGAAATGAGTCCCATTGTAATTTATGTGACCTTCACAACAAAAGCAATAGAAATTTCTAGGATGGACTTATCCAACAACAAAGATGTGTTTTCATACCTGGAATATTGCAGAATGTTCGGAGTCAGCAGGAAGAATCTTTACTCTATGCTTATGAGCAAGAGGAAGTACAAACGGACCACCGGCAATTAAGGTCTCTTTGTTAGCCAAGGCTATGTCTTTCCCTGCTTCTATGGCTGCTACTGTAGGCTAACGAAGAAAAAAAGGGTAATAAGGAAAAAATAAACTCTCTCTGAAAACAGAATTCATTCATCGTTGATATAGGAAACTTGTTGGTTATAGAACCATGCACCAAAACTTGTGGAGAAATATAGAGCAGATAATGCAGCAACTCAAGTGCATTTAGGGAAGACCATCAAGGGAAGGAAAGCAATTTAGCGAAAGAGTTGCATAATCAAATTCCCATCAAAAGCTGTGAAGGGTTTCTGTGTGTGCGCACAAAATATGCTTGCATATTGTACCTTTCTTTAAGAATTATTACATTGTGGTTCTCGGTAGTGGTGGCATTCTGCAAGAGAAAGTTACAAGAGAGCATGGACTTCTAAGTTCTTGTTTCTGTATGAGAACTACTTCTCAGTTCTAATCGATGCAAATACTATATATTTTTTCTTCTTTGTGCATAAATTTTTTGTCATTTTCAATTAAAGTTTTGCTTTGTTGAAAATGTTCTACAGCCAACCAAATTGAGATACTCAGCCTAATTAAATTTGGAGAGAACAAAGTTTTAATCTCTAGGTCTACTTGCAAAAATAAACCCTCCAAACTGCCCGCCCTCTCGTCCAAGAATAAAAACAGGCCTTTTCTCACAAACTAAGGGCTGGATAAAGTTTCTATTAAGATACAAAGTGAATTTGGAACTCAGTGTCCATAACCTGTTAGGCATAGTAGATTCTTCATGCCACATATTTCCATAAAATAATCAGAAGTATGAACACATTAATTATTAGCACCATTACTCACAAAAAAACAATAACGCGTACATAAGCAGAAACTCTCATCAGCCCAGGAGGGACATTAGCATTCATAAACATGCGCTTCAGTATAAATGTATCTATATATCTTTGTGTATGTACATGAAAGCACAATTGCGTACTGTATAACATATTAATAATTTAGAAGGCGCTTATAGTGAATAATCAAACTTAACCAAAACATCCTGCACATATATATTATAATTATGGTTGGGCATGCACATGAGATGTTACAGCTGAAATGTCCATAAAAAGTAATATGTAAGGAAATATTCCTAAAAAAGCCTACAAATTTACCTTCAATCCTGCACAACCAACTATTCCAGTAACTGCAGTCACAGCATCCGGGTGGCGGGCAACCTAGAATTAGATTTCAAGACATGGCCCTCAAGCAATGAGATCAACCTCCCATCAGCAAAACAAATGAAAGACTGAAATACATGCTAACTGACCTCAATGACACCCTGCTCTCCGGGAATAATTTCAGGCTTGTATTCAGCATCCGCCAAAGCCTCTTTGAGTTCAGCAACTAATGACTCATTTCTTACAGCAACTAATTGAGGTTTGAATGTCTTGACCTGTGAATATGTTGATGATTAGCTTCCATAATGGATACAAACGCATGATTATTTTCTTTGGAGACAGAAATAAGCATGCTAATTATTTTGACCATGGGAAGATCGATAGATGCAGTAATCCCACTCAAGGAATATGAGAGCTGGTTTTTGTAGCATATCATTTAACAGATAGAACACGAAGTAAGTTCATTATAACCTTGAAAAACTTCTGCTTTCCGAAGAAAGATTCTGGAAGCAAAAAGTCAGCATCTCTATCAATTAAATGATAAGCTACTGAAACCAGCTTTCACATTCCATGAGTGGTATTGGTAGCAGCAGCTGTGAAAAGTGTATTTGGTGGCAGTGCATCATAGTTGAGGTGATGTTGATAATGAAAATTGCGGTCATGGCAGTGATCTATTGTTAATGGCACTCAATGGGCCTTACTGATTAATTACTTCAACTTGAGGATTCTAAAATATCACCCATATAAGTAGATGTCATTCGGAAGCTGGGATTCAAACTTACCTAACTCAAATGCTTAAGAGGATTTTAAAAAATCTCATTTTTTTGAACCCAGAAACAAATTTACAACAAGGATTGCCAATTCATCCGTCCATTCAAATCCTTCCTCAAATATCTCAACCTAAGAAACTAACAGTTATGCTAAGATGGAATTCTATAAAGCTGCAAAAGTTTTTTGTAGAACAGAAAAATTTATCAAACTTCAAATAAAAGGATCTAGGCAACAGATTGCCAGGTGCTGGCAATTTCAAGCTTTAGTCGATGGTTGTCAAGTAACTCAGATTGTTGAAAAACCACTAGGCCTTTTCTGGTTATATGCTACATTGGAAATATAACTGATTGATCACCTGATCAGCAAGGAGAGTCACATTTGAACCAGCAGCGAGGGCCACAACTCTGAACTTGTCTGGATTCTCTGCCACTATGTCCAATGTCTGTATAATGCCAGCATACAATTTTAAGCAGCCAAAGAAATATATAAACACAAATAAAATGCATGACACTAGTTTAACCAAAAAGCAAAGCAATGACCTATCTTCCAGAAAGAAAAAAAAAAAGGACCTGTGAAAGCGATTTTAGGTCAAAATAAGGCCTTTTAGTCACTAGTTGTGTTCAAGCCGCGGAAAATTGACTTATTTGAATATCACAATAGGCACAAATGAAAGATCATTAAATCTAAGAAGTAGGTTCTCAAGAAAATGTTCCATTAATCCATAGCTTGCAGAAAATATGCGTACGAAGATGACAGTCCAACTATTAAAATTAAATTCATAGCACAAGTTCTTCACCTGAGTTCCAATAGAGCCAGTGGACCCAACAACTGAGATAGGCTTTGGGCCATCCCAAGTCTTACGACCTGGCTCAGCAACAGCCGCCCCAGGCCAGGCCGGGGGAGGAGGCTGTGCTGAACAATTAATTCTCTTTCCATATACTACTCCATTGTCTTTCCTCTTCAAAGCAAACCCACCTTAAAATAAAATAAAAGAACAACCGATTAGCAAACTTGAACAAATTATGCTCCATGGACCCACAAAATACGGCAATTTGAATAAGTAGAAAGACCTCAAGTCAAAAACCACACTATCATATACTCTATTCAAAAGCCCAAATTGAAAGATTCCACCCTTAAAACAACCATTAAAAGCCAAATAAGCTTTATGACAAAAAGGAAGCCCTCCTAAGTTCAAAAATTCAAGATAATAAGAGATACCCGTAGATTAATACAGACACAGAAAGATTCGCAATTTACACTTATTAGAGATATTACAGCCGAATATTGCACGAGAGGAACACAAGGGATCAAACAGAATAATCATATTATAAAATGAGCATGGCATATTAGAACTAACTAGGAAGCAATTGATTGGTACAAACCACAACAAAACATAAACATCTAATCACTTCATGTTCGCAGTAGAAAAGAATCAAACTTCAACGGAAGATATTAATCAATCGGTGGAAGAGGAGGATTTAGTGAGAAAGAAAGAGTAGAGAAACCTTGAAGCTTGAGAAGATTAACGTTGCAGTTAGATTTAGAGGTGTCCAAGAAGGACAGACACTTGATTTCTGCCGGGGAGAGCAAATTCAGAGCCATATCACTATACCCACTTACTGTTCAATGAATTACGCTTCTCAAATGAAACAAGAAGAGAAATGAATTGGAAAAGGGAGTGACAACCCTCTGCGTGTGTGAGCGAGTGTGTACGTGAGAGAGAGAGAGAGAGAGAGAGCNAATTAAATTCATAGCACAAGTTCTTCACCTGAGTTCCAATAGAGCCAGTGGACCCAACAACTGAGATAGGCTTTGGGCCATCCCAAGTCTTACGACCTGGCTCAGCAACAGCCGCCCCAGGCCAGGCCGGGGGAGGAGGCTGTGCTGAACAATTAATTCTCTTTCCATATACTACTCCATTGTCTTTCCTCTTCAAAGCAAACCCACCTTAAAATAAAATAAAAGAACAACCGATTAGCAAACTTGAACAAATTATGCTCCATGGACCCACAAAATACGGCAATTTGAATAAGTAGAAAGACCTCAAGTCAAAAACCACACTATCATATACTCTATTCAAAAGCCCAAATTGAAAGATTCCACCCTTAAAACAACCATTAAAAGCCAAATAAGCTTTATGACAAAAAGGAAGCCCTCCTAAGTTCAAAAATTCAAGATAATAAGAGATACCCGTAGATTAATACAGACACAGAAAGATTCGCAATTTACACTTATTAGAGATATTACAGCCGAATATTGCACGAGAGGAACACAAGGGATCAAACAGAATAATCATATTATAAAATGAGCATGGCATATTAGAACTAACTAGGAAGCAATTGATTGGTACAAACCACAACAAAACATAAACATCTAATCACTTCATGTTCGCAGTAGAAAAGAATCAAACTTCAACGGAAGATATTAATCAATCGGTGGAAGAGGAGGATTTAGTGAGAAAGAAAGAGTAGAGAAACCTTGAAGCTTGAGAAGATTAACGTTGCAGTTAGATTTAGAGGTGTCCAAGAAGGACAGACACTTGATTTCTGCCGGGGAGAGCAAATTCAGAGCCATATCACTATACCCACTTACTGTTCAATGAATTACGCTTCTCAAATGAAACAAGAAGAGAAATGAATTGGAAAAGGGAGTGACAACCCTCTGCGTGTGTGAGCGAGTGTGTACGTGAGAGAGAGAGAGAGAGAGAGAGCACGGAGATTAATTTGTGGTTTGAATCCTGTCTTATAATAGGAACAAAGGCGGAGAGAGAGGGTGTGTGATAACGAATTTTTAGTTGTGGCGAGCAACAAGACAAATAATGCAGGATAAAGACGAAGTTGGGAATCAGCACTTCGCGTGGACGGCGTGCGTTTTTGTTTATGCTTCCTTAATCCTTATGCCAACCGCGGAACAGGAATTATAATTAAAAAATTTATTTATTAGGATTATTCGGCTATTGGTGTTAGTCACAATTTTATTTTTCATTATATCAACCACACTAAGGAACTAAATTTTTTTTTGGAACGATCGAAATATCCAAAATATTCTCGTTGATATGAAAATCATTAATTGAATATTGTAACTCCTATTTTTTGAGGTGTTTTGACATATTTTTGTATATTTTAATCAATATTTTGATATGTGTATATCAATGTTTTGAAATCAATTTTTGTAAGTTTTTTTATCCTATTTTTAAAACATTTTTATTTCTAAGCTAACTAAAACTTTACACTGAAATAAATTTTTGATCTACGAAACGTACCATTAAAAACTAGAGGAGATTGAAATTTTTTGTTTTTTACTAGTTAAAAAAAATATAGAATAAGCAATAAGATGTGAAATTACGACTCTTACCCATGGGGAAAGCCCTCCCCAAGGGTGCAGACAGGAAAACCGAAACCGGTAGATGACCATTAAGGTTGACTTAAGCCAGATCATAGTTCTATTAAACCGTTATAAGTAACTCAACAATTTATTCTATATAAACTGAACTTATGGTATACGAAATATCTAGCTCTAATTTGATGATTCATGATTAGAAAAATGGCATGAGATAGATTAAGTAAAGTTTACCATGAACAATTTACATAGCTAAAGAATACACGATCGATTAAGAGTAGTAATAAATAAAAACCCACTGCCTTAGAAAATATTAGGAAAAATTATATTTTGACCTTATAAGATTTGTCATTTAGTCACATAGATTTCCTTATATTTAAAATATTACATGCAAATTATAAGGTTTGTCGCGCGTAACACTCAGACTTTTATTGTCAATGTCCGTTAGTATATCTGTTAGTAAATTACACTTAAATCTCATGAAATTTGTAGACCTCTAATACTAAATATTCTAATTAAAGATAAAATATCAAAAATTTTAAATTTTACAATCAAAATTTATGTTATATTACGTTATTTTATTAAAATAAAATAAAAATTCAAAATTTTTTTTACAAAAATCATAATTAATACTGATGATGTCAAAATTTGGACACCTACAACTCATTTTGTTGGGTTTTGATCATTTGAAAAAAAAAAGTCGAAAACCAAAAAGAGAGTTCCAGAGGTCGACTTTCCGATACCTAAGTTAATAAATGACTCAAATATATGAACTGCGTATAATAATCATTATAAATATATCAAAGAATTCAAGTCAACACTTATTTATGTCTATTAGAATAGAACTAAAAAAATCAAATAATTGGTCATACTATAATGGATACAATATTTTTTATATTTAATTAGGATAATTTGATCGTTTAATAGATTTCGTAGCTAATAAGGAGTTTAAGTGTAATATTTTAAATTTGAGGGATATAAGTGTTATACGNAATATAATATCTTTTATATTTAATTAGGATAATTTGATCGTTTAATAGATTTCGTAGCTAATAAGGAGTTTAAGTGTAATATTTTAAATTTAAGGGATATAAGTGTTATACGTCTATAAATTTTAGAAGATTTAAGTATAATTTACTAACATATAGACTAACAAACATTGATGATTGTGATTTAAGTGTTATACGTATACAAACTTCAGAGAATTCGTGTATAACATTTNGATACAATATTTTTTATATTTAATTAGGATAATTTGATCGTTTAATAGATTTCGTAGCTAATAAGGAGTTTAAGTGTAATATTTTAAATTTAAGGGATATAAGTGTTATACGTCTATAAATTTTAGAAGATTTAAGTATAATTTACTAACATATAGACTAACAAACATTGATGATTGTGATTTAAGTGTTATACGTATACAAACTTCAGAGAATTCGTGTATAACATTTTAAATGTTAAAAAATTTAAATGATGACAAATTCAAGAGATTGGTTGGCTGTAATTTTCCAAGTATTATTAAAACGGCGAAGTATGCCCATAATTTGAGAGTACTGCGACAATTACTAAAACATNGAAATTAGTGTATAACATTTTAAATGTTAAAAAATTTAAATGATGATAAATTCAAGGGGTTGGCTGTAATTTTCCAAGTATAATTAAAACGGCGAAGTATGCCCATAATTTGAGAGTACTGCGACAATTACTAAAACATGGATGTTGACCTAAAGTCGTGAAACATGACAGAAAGAAGTTTGACTTTTAGGTGCTGAAAATTCATTGGACCACGTACCCCCATCGTGCCGATATGACGTTGTGGATTTCATGGATTTGATTGACAGCAGAGTANCTTGGTGCTGCAAATTCATTGGACCACGTACCCCCATCGTGCCGATATGACGTTGTGGATTTCAAAGATTTGATTGACAGCAGAGTATCCGGGCAACGGAGATTGGCGAAGATCCTCTCTCTCCTCACGTTNTTAGGTGCTGAAAATTCATTGGACCACGTACCCCCATCGTGCCGATATGACGTTGTGGATTTCATGGATTTGATTGACAGCAGAGTATCCGGGCAACGGAGATTGGCGAAGATCCTCTCTCTCCTCACGTTGGCCCTTAGCACTGGACGCAGATGATGACTCACATGCCTTTGACAAGAAAAAGTGGGCTTACATGCCTAACTTAATACCAATTGGTGTTGTGATATCACCATGCACCATGCACCATGCACCATGCACCATGCATTCTCTTCTCCCACATAAGCCTCCACCCATTTGTAACTTGTTAACACCACATTGGTACACGTCCTTAGTTTCGATTTTAAACTTTTTTTTTTGATTTGGTACCNTAACTTAATACCAATTGGTGTTGTGATATCACCATGCACCATGCACCATGCATTCTCTTCTCCCACATAAGCCTCCACCCATTTGTAACTTGTTAACACCACATTGGTACACGTCCTTAGTTTCGATTTTAAACTTTTTTTTTTGATTTGGTACCCTCGTCTTGTGCATTTTGCGTAAACTACGTGTCTCCTGTGATTTATCAAGTTGTCTGAGACGTATTTGAATTAATCACATTGTCCTAACCAACACCTCTTTGAATCGATAGATACTATTCAACAATGTTATAGTAAAACATGAATTTCTCGTTACGTTTATTTTATTATTTTATAAAATATTTTTGTGTGTTTTGCCTACTATTTGTTCGCAACGTCTAGATCGATGCTTCTTAGTGCCTTTTGAATCGATGTTTATATAATCTTGAACCCAGCCATAGGTAGGGCAGCACTAAAGTCTCAAAATTTCCAACGTNCATTTTCGTGTGTTTTGCCTACTATTTGTTCGCAATGTCTAGATCGATGCTTCTTAGTGCCTTTTGAATCGATGTTTATATAATCTTGAACCCAGCCATAGGTAGGGCAGCACTAAAGTCTCAAAATTTCCAACGTAATGGTGGGTTTATTATTTCATGGTCCGAGAGTTATGTGACACATTCGGAGTTTATATTGTGTTGGTATATTTTAATATTAATATATAGTTTATTGTACCAATGTAAATTTATTCATCTATATGGATACATTGTGTTTATGAAATGAATGTATAATACATATACATGAACGCAAATTTATTTGGATACATGTATGGCAATATACATGAATCATCTTTTACTGCATACATGTATAATTAGATACATATACATGCACATTATTTCATATATGACTTATATGCATGAGTTGATTTTATTAAATGCATGCATAATTACGTACATGTATTTTGTGTATACATACATGACTTAGATACATGAACTCTAGAAAGTTCTAAAAACAATAAATAAGACCTTTAAGTTGGGCATTTGAAGATCTATCGGACACCATCCAATATATTATAACACTTCATAACATACTACATACACTTGAGAGTTTAAGTCAAAGAATGATGTTTCTATGGTGGAATTTTGGAAGAGTTGGTTAGACTTGATGTATTGATGAGTCAGAAAGGTTACAAACTAAGCGTAGAGCCCTGTATATATAGCCAATGAAATTTACAATAAGGATAAAAAGGTCAAAAGAGAAAATTTAATAAGCCCTAATAAACTAGGCTGCTGCTATATCTCCAACACTCCCCCCTCAAGCTAGGCACAAAAATGTCAATTAAGTCAAGTTTGACAACAAAGTCCCGGAGAATAGATAGAGTGACAGATTTGATAAAAATATCTGCAACCTGATCACTGATCCTCACAAACGATAGAGTGACAATACCACTGCTAACATTCTCCCAAAGAAAGTGAACATCAATCTCTATATGCTTTGTCCTCTCATGTAATATAGAGTCAGAAGCAAGCTGAATATAATGGAGATGAAAAAGTCACTGAAAATTTTAACTCGCCAAGAATCGATCGTAGCCATATTATCTCACATGTGTCAAGTGCTAGTGCCCGATACTCTGCCTCTGCTAACTAGCGAGAGACAACTGACTGCTTTTTACTCTTCCAAGAGATAAAAATGAGTCATGTGAAAGATACAGAAGCTTGTAGTAGATCGACCGTCACATGCTCTCCCATAATCTGAATCTGAATAACAGGCTAGAGAACCAGTCTGAGATCTTGATGCATAAAACAACTCAAGTCCAGGACAAGACTTGAGGTACCAAAGAATATGATAAACTGCATCAAGATGAGGCTGACATGATCTGTGCATGAACTGACTAACTCGGCTGACAGCGAATGAAATGTTTGGCCTAGTGTTGGATAGGTAGATAAGTCTACCTACCAACCTCTGATAAATAGAAGAATCTCTCAACTCCTCACCTTCAGCAGTAAGCTTCAGGTTTGGAATCATGAGTGATGATGCCGGTTTGCACCACAACATTCTAGTGTCTAAGAGAAGATCCAGAACATACTTTCTCTAAGAAAGAATAATACCTCT